AAATCATTCTATTCTTTAAGAGAATGCAACTATATATCTATCCCAACCACTTTGAATACACAGATACAAAATGGACATTCATCGGTATACCCCATTTTTCCTAAGTTCCGTTATTGAATATTATAGGTGTGTGTTTTGGACTTTTACAGATAGGGTAGCTATGGAGATATTTTATAGATGTCCTGCTCCAGAGAAACTGCTGGATGATGAACATAGTAAGTTCCAATTTAGTACACACTGCCAAATGTTTCAAAAGTCCATAAACTTACATTCTGCCAGCAGATGAGAGTACCACATCTTTACCAGCCACTGTTGTTGTCAATCTTAATCACTTTATGTATTCTGGTGGATTTGTGGTATTTCATTGTTTTAATTTGAATATTCATAATGACTAAGAAGGTTGAGTACCTTTTCATATGCTTAGTGGCCATTTGGCTATTGTGTTGTAAAATGTTTGCCTTTTCTTGACAACTTGCAGTTCTTATCTATATTTTGTCATACAAATACTATAAATACAATAGATTCTACTGTTTTACCTTATCACTGTAAATGAGAGGCATCTTTTAAAGAAATGAAAGTCAAATTTATTTCTTTTCCTTGACTTATTTTAAAGACAAGGTCTCACAATGTAGTCTAGGCTAGCTTTGACTCAATATACAACCCAAGCTGGCCTTGAACTCACAATCTTCCTTCCTCTGCCGCTTGAGAGATGGATTAGATATGTGTACTATCACACCCAGTCAATTTTGACCTTTTTTTTATGTTCTAGTGAAAAAAACAAACAAAAACCCAATAAACTTGCCTATCCAAAGATCAGGCAGCTATTACCCTCTTTTAAATGTCGCTCCATGATTTGTTGACTCACAGGTTTTTGCTATTGTTTCATTTTTTTAGCACTGGAGACTGAACCCAGGGCTTGTGCCTGCTAGGCAAGTACTCTGCCACTGTTATACCACTAGTTCAATCTGTAGGGCTTTTTGAAGAACGCTGTTTAGTTTCCAAATATGCAAAGACTTTGTAGTTAACTTTTAGTAATTGATGTCTAGCTTATTTACATTGTAGTCAGAAAATAATATTCACAGACTAGGGATACAGCATGTGCTTGTTAGCTCATGTAGAGGCCCTGGATCAATTCCCAGCACCAAAAACCAATATTGTTTTTTTTTTATTATTATTTTTCGGAAGCAGCTACTTTATTAACTGACCAAATCATAAAAATGCCATAGTAGATACCTTAGTTCTAAGGTATAAGAACTATAAGGTATAAGAACTATAAGCCTGTTGATCTGGTCTTCTCTATTTTCAGGATCTCCACCTTCCACAAAATGGGTGTTCTTTTTCTTCATTCCACCTTGCAGAGATGATAGTTTGAATGGCCACAGAAAGTTATTTGCCTCTTTGAAGCATTTTCCAACAGTATAGATCTCATGAATCAGATTCTCCAAGCAGATGATTCCATATTTACCAAGAGATCGAGCAATCAATGAGTTATCTGTCAAGGCAATTCGTTTCTTATTGATTTTGCCATAGCCACACTTGTATATTAGTTCATTCACTGACTTCAGGTTTGGGTGCCCCATGCAATGTATGGCTCCACAATTCTCAGCATGTCAACTGAAGCCTTGATGAGCTTAACAAAGGTACCATTGAAGATTTGGTGAAGGCAAAGAAGCTGCAAGGACTTTTGGGCTCACACCATTGATACTCCTGATCCAGATGACAAATGCCAGTTTGGGCTCTGTAGGGACACAGAAGTTGCCAGCTCTTCTCACCATCCTAGCCATTTAGATCTCAGTTCTATACATCTGTCTGTGCTCCTTATGATAGTGTCTGGATTTTTCATAGATGAGCTTCTTCCTTGCCCTGCAAAGCATCTTCTGGGCAAACTTCTTTCTCGGCACTTAATCTTCAGCTCTGCAAAATGTCTTCCCTTTTTCTGAAGGGTTTCTGGCACAGTAGGAACCTCCTTTTTCTTCTCTTCTACATCTTCCATGGTTCCAATATTCTTGGTTTTTTGTTTTGTTTTGTATTTTTAAGGAAGGGTCTACAGGGTGTTCAGGGTCTCACTACTATATCGGACTAGTGGTGATCCACCCATTTACAGCCTCCTCAGTGCTGGGATTACAGGTGCATACCACTACTCCCAGTCTCAGTTGCAGTCTCAGCACACCCCAGGGGCGGGCAGGCATGGCAGGCATGGGGATCAAATGCCTGCTTGCAGGCACTTTAATCTGCTGAGCTATTTGGCCAGCCTGAAACCCAATATTCTAAGTGACTTAAATCCTTGAAATTTTCTGAGTGCTGCTTTATGATTCATCATATAGTCTATTTTAGTATGTTCGACATATACTTGAACAAATAATTTTTTCTTTTGATACCAGGAATTGCGCTCAGGATGTTTTGCTTGCCAGGCAGATGTTGTGCCACTTGTTTTGGCACCAGAAATCGAACTTAGGGTCATGTGTTTACCAGGCAGGTGCTGTGCCGCCGAGCTGTATCTCCGGCTTTGTATTTTTTAATTGAGTACAACTTTTTATATAATTTACTTGTTTCTTGATCATGTGTTTAAAACTCTTGTACCTTAACTGATTATCTTTTGTTTGCTTTACTTGACAGAGAAGTGTTGGTCTCTCACCATAAGGGTGGATTATCTGTCTATTTTTAATGTCAAATGTATTTCAATTAATATTTTGGATCTATGCTATTAGATGCATGTATCTTAGATTAATATATATTCCTGGCAACAACTGTCCTTTTGTTAATGGAGGGACTCAATTTAGGACCTCATCCATGGTAGGCAAGCACTGTAGAGCTGAGCTACATCCTTGACCCTTTTTATTTTATTTTGAAACAAGGTCTTGTAAATTGCCTCAGCTGGTCTTGACTTTGTACTCCTGCTGCCTTAGCGTCCTGAGTAGCTGGGCACACCATGATGAACCAAAAGATATTTTTATTTCTAGAAATGTCTTTAGCTGTCAAGTAGAGTTTGCCAGATATCTTATCATTTCATTAGGCTTTTCTCATTCATTTTTTGAACACTATAGATTTCTTCACCCTTTTTTAGCCCTTTATTCAAACTTTCTATGTCTTTATGTCTAAAGTGATATCTCTTATAAGCAGGTTTTTTTTTTTCACATCCAGTCTGATATATATATATATATATATATTGGTTAATCAAGCTATGTACATTTAAATGTAACTACCCAGCTACTTGGATTTATAATACCATCTTGCTAAGTTGCCTAGAAAAGACTTGAACTTGTGATCCTCTTGCCTCACAACTGCTGGTATCAAAAGTATGTACTACTGTGCCTGGCTCCAATGAGTTCTTACATTGTTATATTTTTAGTTCCAGAATTACTATTTATTTTTTGTTATTGCTGTTAAGAATTATACTGAAGAATCCAGTTCTCTGATTAAATTCTTCATCTTTTCATCTAGTTTCTTTCTTTTCTTTTCTTGTAGTACTGGGCATTGAACCCAGAATGTGATGCTAGGCAAGTACTCTACCAGAGCTACATCCCTACATCCCCAGCCCTTTAAAAATTTTTATTTCGAGACCGATTATACTACATCAAAAGGAGTTGCTCTATCTTCTGGCTCTGGCTGTGTCTACTCTGGAGTTATGCTGACTCAATGCTGGACTACAGTTCTGTAAGTATGATCTGTCTCTGGCTTGCCTCATTTCAAGGGTAGTTCTCGAAAAAGTCCAGTGAAGAATCCAGTGTTTCTTGATGCCCATTCTCCTTGACAGATCCTAAATTCCTATTTTTGTTCTCATTTTAGCAATACAATACTGCCAAAATTCTGATATATTTTTTTTCAACTGCTTTTTGATTTTTCAGCCTCTTTTGTACACAGTTAAGACTAAGCAAGTGCCTTACGGAGAGAACCTTTAAATGTCAGACTTACTTTTCTTTCCCTTAAATTATTTTAAATCCAGCTAGACATCACGATGCATACCTGTACCCCAGCAATTGGGAGACTGATGCCACAGAAGGTCACTGTGAGTTCGAAGCCAGCCTGGGCTACAAAATGAGTACAAGGCCAGCCAGCCTGAACTACATAGCAAGACCCTGGCTCTCAAAAACAAATATGTTTAGGGCTGGGGAGATGGCTCAGTGGAATAAGTGCTTCCTTGGCAAGCACAAGGGTCTCAGTTCAATCCCCAGTTCCATTAAAACAAACAAACACCCAAATGTTTAAATTCATAAATAAAAATTATATATTTACCATGCATGAAATGATGTTTTAAACTATGTAGATAGTGAAGAACACCTAAATCAAGCTAAATAACATGGCTTACATACATGTTTCATGGTGTGAATACTTTAAAATTTATCATTAATGTAATGGTTTTCAAGATAGACTACATGGTCACTAATTACATAGGCTTTAAATTCAAATGATATGATCACCTGTTTGTATTTATTTATTTTTAATGTATTTAGTACAGGGTCTACAGGGTCTCACTACGTAGATCAGACTTGTAGTAATCCTCCTGTTTTCAGCCTCCCAAGCGCTGGGATTACAGGTGTGCACCACCACACCCAGTTTCATTTGCAGTCTCAGTGCGCTCGAGGGCGGGACTGGCATGGCACACCAGGGATTGAACCCTGGCCACAGTGCTCTGCCTAAGCAGGTGCTTTAGTCTGCTGAGCTATCTGGCCTGCCCTACATGTTTTTGTTTAGATAAACTTGTAACTTACCTTGGAATTCTACTACAATCTCATGGACAACTACAAGTATATTTCTGTGATGAAAAATGCCTTTGCAGCATTTGATTTCAGATGGAAAGAGGAGTACGCACCGTATTCTAGTATCTAGTAATTCCTTAATCATTGCCACAACTTCATCATCTTCTTCAGAAGCTAGAAACAATCATAAATAACATAATCAACAGCAGGCACGTCCTGAATTTGATGGCCTTCTACTTCAGCCTACCAAATGCTAGAATTACGGGCATGCACTACCACACCCAGCTCACAAAGAAATTTTTTTTTTTGGGGGGGGGTGGAAATGAGGATTGAACTCAGACCATTGCACTTGCCAGGGAAGCGCTTATTCTACTGAGCCATCTCCCCAGCCCAAGACATTTTTGTAGGAAGAAGCAAGAACAGTTTTGTAAACTATAATTTTAGACATCAAGTGGTTTCCCTAAATGAAAGTAAGAGGAAGTTTGTCACTATAGCATCTTCAAAGCTGAACTGTGTGAGTTCCTCACTAGGGAGTTGGCTGAAGATGGATACTGTGGTACTGAAGTCCAAGTTACACCCACCAGGACAGAAATCATTATTTTAGCCACTAGGACACAGAAAGTTCTCGGTGAGAAGGGATGGAGGATCTGAGAATTCACTGCTGTTGTTCAGAAGAGGTTTGGCTTCCCTGACAGCACTGTAGAGCTTTATGCTAAAAGGTGGGAACAAGAGGACTCTGTGAATTGCCCAGGCAGAATCTCTGCCTTATAAATTCCTAGGAGGGCTTGGGGTGCAGAGGGCCTGCAGTGGTATGCTGTGGTTCTTCATGGAGAGTGGAGCCAAGTGTCATGAGGTCGTGGTATCTGGGAAACTCAGTGGACAGAGAGCTGAGTCCATGAAGTTTGTGGATGGCCTGATGATCCACAGTGGGGACCTTGTTAACTACTACACTGACACTGTGGTGCGCTGGGTATCAAAGTAAAGATCATGCTGCTCTGAGATCGAAGAGGTAAGAGTGCCCCAAGAAGCCTCTGCCTGACCATGTGAGCATCGTGGAATCCAAAGATGAGATCCTGCCCACCACTCCCATCTCACAGCAGAAGGGTGGGAAACCAGAGCCGCCTGCCATGCCCCAGCCAGTCCCTACCACATAATAGGGTGTTCCTGGCAGCAGCATCTGAAAATGGAGGCTGCTGTGTGGAGACATTTAATAAATCTTGCATAAAAGACCAAATAAATAAAATAAAATAGGAAGTTTTGTCCTTTCTAGAATTGGATCCAGAGCTAAATATATTTATTATATGATATAATAAAAATCTGTATTCCTATCACTTCTAAAATCAAGGCAAATAGGAAGAAAATAGAAAAGTCTAAAGAAAAAAGATAAATGCTAATTACATAACACAATATGTTACCTGGTTCTCCTGACGATGTTTCCTCAGTAACTAGGGGTAAGCCAGATGCAAAAAAGTCCATAATTGTTGCATAAATATCTGGTTTCAGTAAATTCCAGTCTAATTCTTCATTCTCCTATAAACATGTAAAGGAGAATACTGTATTTCCAGCCAAGAGAAAGACAAATACAGAACCCGATCTTAGATCTCTAAACAATGTCTTCCTATCATGTATTATGCAACAGTATCCATTTCTGGAGAATATTTGTCAGTCTCAGTTCTTTAAGATGCTCTCACTTAAGTGCCTTTTTCATTTAAGTGTCTTTCAGAAGATACAATTGTAAAACATTCTGCCATGCATTCACTCATCAACCTTTTATGAGATGCATGTATCATGACCTACTTAGGGAATAACAATCAAAGGCTATTTTCTTTGTGATGTAAAAGACTTAAAATACTGAATGGATTCTGTGCTTAAAGAGTAGGATAAAGAGATGCCCATTCTCTTACAGAAAAATAGCATATAACTGCTCCGTAAGCTATATAAGGGCATATCACAAATGTTAAAAATCCAATTTACATATATTGCTTAAAGAGTATTAAAGCTCAGTAGAATAAGCGCTTGCCTGGCAATCACAAGGGCCTGAATTCAATCCCCAATTCTACAAAAAAAAAAAAAAAAAAAACCCTACATATTAGAAAAAGAAACCAGTTCCAAGAAATATTTTAAAAAATTATTCAGAGGATAAATCCTAACACCTCACAGATCTTCAGTAAACAGAAGGCTCTGCTGAGTAAGGAAATGAAAACATTGGTAACAGAAAGAAAAAGATATTCTGAAGTTCAATGAGAAAAAGGGTAGTATATAAACTGCAAATATATATATATATATGCAGGAAAATAACGATGCATAGAGAAGCTGTGCATTACAATTACAAATTAGAAAGAGACATAGGTGATCACTGCGGATGTCAAATGTGTAGTTCATGATAAAAAAGATTATTTGAAGAAAATGGATCAAGGCCGAAGGACAGTTGAGTGGTAGAGCACTTGCCTACATTAGAGAGACCTTGGGTTCAAGTCTCAGCATCTCTCTCTCTCTCTCTCTCTCTCTCTCTCTCTCTCTCTCTCTCACACACACACACACACAGAATAATAAACAAAACTAACCAGGCATCACAGCATATGTCTATAATTCCAACACTCAGGAGGCTGAGACAGTAGGATTGACACAAAATTAAGACAAGTCAGAGCTACATAGTGAATTCAAGGCCAACCTAAATTACTAAGTAAGACTTTGTCTCAACCACCCCCAAAAACAAATCAAAGAACAAAAGAACAACAAAGATAGGCCAGAAGACTAAATTGGTGAAGATCAGAGATTAGTCAACCTAGGTTTGCTCATCATAACCCTTCATTTGGGGAAACCACTTGATGCCTAAAAATGTAGTTTACAAAACCATTCCTGTTTCATCCTACAAAACTTTCTTTGTGAGCTGGATGTGGTAGTTCATAGCCATAATCCCAGCACTTCATAGGCTGAGGCAGAAGACTACCAAATTCAAGGAGAGCCTGGGCTACACAGTAAGTTCAAAACTGGCCTGAATTACAGAGTGAGACGCTGTCTCAAAAAGAAAAGATAAAAAGAATAGAAATTCTGGAAAGAGGTATTGGACTTAGCAAAAAAATTAATAGTACTTCAAATCTTTTTTTTTTTTTTTTTTTTTTTTTTGCATTTGGTACAGGGTCTCACTAGGCAGCTCGGACTCAGTGATTCTCCTGCTTCCCCTTCCTCAGCGCAAATTTATGGCACCACCATACCCAGTTTCAGTGGCCTGCTCAGTGTGCCTGGGGGTGGGGGCACAGGCAGGCAAGGCAGGTGGTGCTGGGATTGAATCCCAGTCCCTGCACTTGCCTAAGCAGGCACTTAGTTCACTGAGCTATCTTGCCGGCCCTCAAATCTTGTTTTCAATAAAATCCTATACATACCTTTGTGACAGTGATGAAATCTGGTCCAAAGAAGACACTTTTTACTCCTTCAATCCTAAATAATTGCCTATGAATATGGAAAAAATGAGATAATAAAGTGCTCTTTTATGAAAATAGAAACATACAAATAAAGAGATAAAAGTAAAAGAATCTCTATGTACTCATCACCATCTTCAACAATTATCACCTCATGGCAAATATCTTACAGTCCATCGATCTCACTACTGGTATTCACTCAAGAGAATGAAAATATATTCCCTACAAAACTTGTACATGAATTCTCATAGAATTATGAGATATAATTTATAATAACCACAACAATTTGAACAGCCCATCAAGTGGGAAATGAATAAAAAGACTGGTATATCTACACAATGTAGTTTGCTTAATAATAAAAAAGAATGAACTACTGATAAACACAAAAATGAGGATGACTCTCAAAAGCCTTCCTGAGGCAAGACAGATTCAGGGCCAGGGAGATGGCTCAGTGGAATAAGCGCTTCCCTGGCAAGCATAAGGACCTGAGTTCAATCCCCGGTTCCACAAAAAAAAAAAAAAAAAAGAAAAAAAAAGAAAAGAAAAGAAAAAAAAAAGAGGTAAGACAGATTCTGTCTATTTATTCAGTCAGTCAGTCAGTCTAGTCAGCCAGCCAGCCAGCCAGCAAATATTTGGACACCTCTGAGAGTCTGGCACTGTATGAGGGAATGACAAAACAGTGGCCTATCTGTAAAAATTTACATTTTAATTCACAGTAAAAATATTTGCTACTAAAACAACAAAGGAAATAAAATTAGTTTTGCCTGAGCACAGTCAATTCTATGAATCTGTAACAAGGTTACACTTTCTTCTTTTCTGGTGCTGGGGAGTGAATCCAGGGCATCAGATATACTAAGCCAACACTCTACCACTAAACTACTCCTCACTCTTTACATTTTTAAATTATAAAACATGTGAATGCATCCTTGATAGAAACATTTAAAGCAATCACATAAGGTTAAAATGTGATTAACCATCTGTCTCATTGTTCTCAGTTTAGTGTGCATTTCTACAAATCTTTTTGTCAGTGTACTTGTTCTAGGTTTTTTTTTGTTGTTGTTGTTCTAGTTTTGTATACATATTATCACACAGCACTGTTCTGCAACTTTCCTTAGACAGGGTCTTGCCATACAGTTCAGGCTGGCCTCAAACTCACAGGGATCCTCCTCCTCCAGTCTCCAGTCCTGGCATTATAGGTCTATGCCACCATGCCTGGCTCTGTTCTGCAACCTTCTTTCTTCATTTAATATATGTGTGTCTTGGGATCTTTTTGTGATTGTAAGTATGGATTTTTCTCACCATTTTTAGTAAAAGCAGGCTATCAATAAAGTTTACCTACTCTATTAAGTATTTATCCCAACTTACCCTCATTACCAACTAGGATACAATAAACATCCCTAGCCCTACCTTGTATAGATGTGAGAACTCTTAAGCCCTACCTTGATTTGTGAAATCAAATATGTAGGGATCAGAGTTTTACTAAATAAAACAAAACTGAACAGAACAGGGCCAGCCAAATAGCTCAGCACAGGGGCTGGGGGTTTGATCCCTGGGCCTGCTGTGCCGGCCCTGCCCCCGGCGCATGCTGAGACAGCAATTGAGATGGGTGTGGTGGCGTGCTGGTGGCGTGCATCTGTAATCCCAGCTCCTGGGAGGCTATAAACAGGCAGACCACTCTGAGTCTGATCTAGTAGTGAGACCCTCAACACCCTGTAGTCCCTTCCTTAAAATACAAAAAAAAAAAAAAAAAAAAACCCTGAACAGAATAACAAAAGGATATAAAGAAAGAAATATACAAATGTATTACCCATTCTGAGGATGAAAAGGGTGAAAACTATCCATCAAACATCTGTTTCTTACATATACACACCCTTGTGTGTGTGTACTGCATCAAAGAATGAGATACTTCTCACAGTGGCTTTATCAAAAAAGTGTAAAACGCAAATGCTGTAAGGTACATTCTGGGAAATACCATGTTTAAATAAAAATGGGCCTGGCCCTATATATGTATTTCTTATTATGAATAATTTCTCTAACTATAAGTAGAAGTTCCTTCCAATAATTTTACCATTTGTGATTTATCTTTTCTGATAAATAACATTGGAACATTCTGAGTAAATTTAAAAACGGTCCTGAGTAGTTTTAAAAAATTATGCCATATTCAATAACTACAATCATTTATAGTTCTGAGCAAAATATTTTAGAAACTATTCCACCTTGAAACATCTAGTAATTCAAAGCCAGGCCAAGTAACCTGTCCCTGCAATTTCAGGCACTAGGAGGCTAAGGTGGGAGTATTGTGATTTTATGGTCAGCAGGGGCAATTTAGAGAGATCCTTATCTTGAAAGAAAAAAAATCAGGTACCTTTATGGGTAAAACTAACAAGCTGTGTTTTTTGTAATTTTTGTTTTCTTGGCAGTACTAGAGATTGAACACAGGACCTTCCCATTAAGCTATATCTTCAAGTTTGTCTCCTGCATTTTAATTTCAGTTTGAGACAAAGCCTTAGTAAGTCATTAAGAATTGTCTAATCTGGGGCCTGGGAGATAGCTCAGTGGAATAAGTTCTTTCATGGCAAGCACAAGGTCCTGAGTTCGATCCCTGGTACCACCAAAACAAGAATTGTCCAAGCTGGTCTTGAACTTACGGTCCTTGTGGCCCAGCCTCCGAGAAAACTATAGTGTGATACATGTTGCCTATGCCTAGCTCGAGTTTGTCCTTCCTTGCTATCTATCTGTATCTCCAGATCTTTTTATTATTCATTTTGGGAAAGAATCTCATTAAGTTGCCCAGGCTGGGTTCAAAACTGGGATCCTCTTGCCTCAGCCTCCCAGAGTGGTGGGACTACAGAAACGCACCACCATGCTTAGCTCCAGCTTGTTCTTAAAGATATGTGCTTTAAAGATTTGGAATGGAGGGGCCGGGGAGATGGCTCAGTGGAATAAGCGCTTCCCTGGCAAGCTCAAGGACCTGAGTTCAATTCCCGGTTCCGCAAAAAAAAAAAAAAAAAAAAAGATTTGGAATGGAAATTTATGATGATTATCAATTTAGAGGATCCCTGTTCTTAAATAAAGATATAAATTTTTACTTCTTTATGCTACAAAGCTCACAAATATACCCCTCTCCAGGTGAAAGGTTTCAAATATCAATTCTTACTAGTCTTACTTGAAAAGAAAATAAAGTATTCTACATACTGAAAAACTGCAGTACACATAAAAGTTCAAAAGCTAACATCAGATTGTCTTACCTAGAGTCAGTTATTACTGTTTCTAGGTAAAGCAAATGAGAACAGGACTATACCTCGCCAGAGGAGAGCGAAATGCTGCAGCTGGTGTAGGAAAATCCATGGTCCTTGTCTCAAGAACTGGTTTTCCTGGTACAAATTTTAAGCTGTTAGGATTTGGGGTATCTTGTGTTTGAATAAACATGTACCGCACTAAAAAAGAAAAAAGAAAGAAAGTTATGCTAGGAAATAGTAGTTAACAAATTTATGTAGTATGAAGTGTTTGTTTTCAGAGAACCAGGAGGAGCGGAGGGGAGTCCTACAAAGCTTCAATTTACAAAGGTGACCAACAACAACAGAAGGAAACACAGCAACTGGGCGTGGTGGCACATGCCTAGAGCCCTAGCACTCCGGGAGGCTGAGGCAGGAGTACTGTGAGTTTGACACCAAACTGGGAAACTCAGGGACTTTAGGGGGCCTGTCTCAAAAATAAAACATAAGTAAGTGTGATGAAGCATGCCTATAATACCAGCATTCTGGAGGCTGAGGCAGGAGGGTTGAAGTTTGAGGTCAGGCTGGGCTAGTGAGTTCAAGGCCTGCATGAAGTACACAGAGAACCTGTCTCTAAACACACACACACACACACACACACACACACACACACACACGGGTGGGGCATATAGCCTAGTGTGAAGGCCATGGGTTCAACCCATATACCATGCACAAAAAATTTTTTTTTAAAAATCAACTTACTAAAGATAACTATATAAAATTTTATATTACTGCTCAGATTATTTAAGATAATTGTGTTATTTAACAGATTCCAGTAATAAGCACTCTTTTTTTTTTTTTGACAGGGTCTACAGGGTCTTACTACACAGATTAGACTCAGTGATCCTCCTGTTTACAGCCTCCCAAAATTCTGGGATTACAGGTGTGCGCCACCACGCCCAGTCTCAATTGTCTCAGTGTACCCCAGGGGCAGGGCCAGCACAACAGGCCAGGGGACTTCTACATTTTTATATAGGAAGGCATATGATAATTCAAAAGTCATATTTTGGTATTAATGGTTATCATAGTTCTAATCATGGTTATGAAATATAGTAAAATGTTACATTTTCTTCCAAAATTGTGCCATTATTTTAGTTGTTGCTTTTAAATTTTTTTTTATAAATTTAGGGTAGGGTCTACAAGGTGTACAGGGTCTCATATGCAGATCGGACTGTAGTGATTCTCCTGTTTCAGCCTCCCAAGTGCTGGGATTACAGGGGTGTGCCACCACGCCCAGTCTCAATTGCAGTCTCAGCACACCCTAGGGGCAGGGCTGGCACAGCAGGCGTGGGATCAAACCCTTGGCCCCTGCATCTGCCTAAACTAAGCTGAGCTATCTGGCCAGCTATGCCATTATTTTAAAGACAATAAAGTTAGCTAGCAATTAATAGTAACAAGCATTGGTTACTTATTTTACACCAGACACAGAGTAAGTTGCTTAAAATGTATCTCTGCCTTTAACAGCTCTATAAAGAATGTGCAATCATTGTCATTTTGCAAATAAGGAAAATGAGGCAAGAAAAAAGAAAACGAGGCTGAGGGACATTAGAGGGAGTAGAAAGTATCACAGAAGTGGGAATTAATGTGAATTACCTTTTGAAATATTAAAAAAATCTTTACAGGATAATTCTTTATAATTTATTCTAGGACTAGACATTAGATTTAGAATGAATTATAAAAAGAAAACACTATCTTTAGTTTCTCTATTATAAATATTTGTGGTACTGTAAAAAAACTACTGAACAGACCCTAAGCGCAATGGCGTAGAGGAAGTAAAAAGAGTCAGATGTGTTATGTACAGGTACCCGCTAGCCATGAGGAATGTAATCATTATGTACTGCATATATGGACTAATAAAATTTTTGAAAATACAGACTTTATTAAACAAATCTGAGAAAAAAATTCTCCTTATAGACTTTATTTTTTGTATTTAGGACAGGGTGTACAGGGTCTCACTGTATAGATCAGACTCACAGTGCTCCTCCTGTTCATAGCCTCCCAAGAGCTGGGATAACAGGCATGCGCCACCACACCCAGTCTCTTTCACCATCTCAGCATGCTCTGGGGCAGGGCTGGCACAGCAGTCCTGGGGATTGAATCCCCAGTCCCTGTGTCTGCCTAAGCAGGTGCCTTAATCCGCTGAGCTATTTGGCCAGTCCACTTAGACTTTAAATTTCTATATTTATATAGGCTGACAACAGTTTATACTAATAACTCAAATTTATTAAATACCTACCATGGATAAGTAATAAGGGCAGGATTTAAGGGGGGACAATTTTTTAGTTCTGACTCTTAACCAGTGCTTGTATACACACACTGACAGTACTCTCAATCCTTAGCTATTAGCACTAAGCATAACAGGAAAAGGCACTTAAGACTAGTCTTCTAATTCTGTCATAATCTTCATATTTCAGGATAATAAAATTTTAAGAAGTGACAGTTTTAAGTTTGAAAGAAACTGAATGTGGGAACCCATATGGTTGGTACTGCCTGAGAGGCAAGTGTTCTGCCTCTGAGCTACGTCCTCCACCTGCAAGGGCAGGGAAAAGATTCTAGTTTGCAAGCTAAGAGTTGCTTTCACACTTCATACAGTTCAGGTAACCGAAGGTGAATCACTTCCTAGGTGAAGTAGAAACTGAAACTAAGCTCTCATACATTCTGCTTAAGACACTGTCCTAATTGGACATCAACTGGTGATCAGGCAATCCTAAAAAAAAAAAAAAAGTGAAAAATGATTGAACCTCAATGTTCAAGCATTTTGCTTAAAATATTTCTGCTCTTACCAAGACATTTCTCTGAAAAAAATCTGTGTTACCAGGGAACAATTTTTTGGTAACTGCCCACAAGAAACATTGCAGAAAAGGGCTGTCATCACTTTCTGCAAACAAAGGACAGCAAGGTTCTTCTACTTGTGGTTTTGAAGCAATCACTTCTTGAAGTTTTAATAGTTTATTGATAATCAAAACCTCTGCATACATTAGGCACCCTACGAGTCTTTGAAGAATCAAATCAGCTTTATCTTAGTCCACTTGAATACTACCTATAGAAAGAAAAAATTTTAAAATATTACAAGGTAAAAACTGTAAATTAAAAAAATCATTTAAGAGCACATAATCTATATGTATATATACTACCTAAAATAAGGCTATGAAAATAGGGCTGGGATGTGCCTCAGTGTGGAAGGGCTTGTTTGCTTAGCACATATAAGGCTCTAGGTTTTTTTTTTTTTTTTTGGCTCCGAATGCCTTCAGGGCAGGTTTGGCTGGCTTGAGTCCTGGGGATCGAACCACAGCAACCCGAGCCTGACTGCTTTGTTGAAGCAGCCACTTAAAGAGTTGCGCTAAGGGGCAGGCCCCCAAGGCCCTAGATTTGATCCCTACTACTAACAAAGTTTGATAAAAATATGGCAATACCACACAAATTTTCTCTTTTGACAAAAGACTATGTCTACTAGTCTATTCCAAAAAACTAACTTAAATATGTATTTACCAAACTCATTCCAACAATAGTCTATCTGAATTTGGTTTAATTAGATATTTTAAAAAATGGCTCCTCCGTTCATCATCTAGAAGCGTTCCTGAGTTATTAAAGGATAAAGAAACTGATACGAAATATGTTTTCTTAATTGAATGAGTACCTCAGTAGGCAGGTAAAAGTTCCTACAACATACAGAGTGAAGTGCTTCAAGTCAGGATGAGTGATTAATATTAGTGGGTACCCAACATGAAAAGTCTATGTGACCACATCATTCAGTCCCACAAAATTTAAATCCAATTAAAGTGATGTGACCTGCTGGGTTACTCAGACTTACATCTGAACTATTTGGAGATTTAAGCAGACAGCAGTGCTGTAGGCTAGCAGGCCTCTTCTTGCTCAAGTAAACAGAAGAGGTAAGCTCTCAACCCTGATTCAAAAAACGCCCTTAGCCAGAATCAGCCACATTCCAGAATACAGTTACAAGAAGGTATTAAGGTATTGATAGGGAATAGGCTGAATCTATACTTATAGCTCCACAACCATAAAAAGCACACGCATATACCCACACACCCCTCCCACAAGCTTCCCTGACCACAGTATAGTGGTCATATTGAAAATTATTCTAAAAATCCTATCTTCATGCTTATTTCTAATACCTAACAAAATCAAAGTACATAACAACATTAAAATCATACCAGTAAATTCTGACCAAAAAACCCCCTACGATCAAAGCCCAATGTCAGAAAATATGGATGAAAGAGAGAAAATTATTGATTTGGGGGCCGGGGAGATGGCTCAGTGGAATAAGTGCTTCCCTGGCAAGCGCAAGGGGGTGAGTTCAATCCCCAATTCTAAAAAAAAAAAAAAAAAGAGAGAGAGAGAGAGAAAGAAAATTATTGATTTTATAGGTATTCTTATCAAAATAAGGCAGGAAATAGCTTTTTAAAACATATGATTCTTTGAAATAAATCCATCTGTAACTTTTTTTTACAGTATTTTCATTTCAGAAATCACTTTTTGAGCAACACATGTTCCAGGAAATATGTTATATAAGATACTGAAATTTTACAGGTCTATTGGATAAAGTCTTTCTGATATTGTGATAGAAAAAAAAAAATCCCCTACCTTCTTTTCATAGGTTTCTGAACAGAAAATTCAGATCCTTGTCTTTTATGATCCACAATATTCAAGCACAGTTCCACCAGCTTCTGAAACACAATTTGCTCTTTTTTTTTTTTTTGGTGGAACCAGGGATTGAACTCAGGCCCTTGTGTTTGCCAGGGAAGGGCTTATTCTACTGAGCCATCTCCCCAGCCCCCACAATTTGCTCTAAAAGGTGAAATTGTGCAGTACAGTGCACAGGCCTGTAATTGCAGCACTCCAGACCCTGAGGCAGGAAAATTGCAAGTTCCAGGCCAGATTGTGCAACTTAGTGACTAAGTTGCAAAATGACTGTTACAAAATGAAGCAGGGCTGGGAATGTAGCTCAGTGCAAAAGCTCTGGTTCAAGCCCTAGTACTTCATAGAAGGAAAAGAAGGAAGAATGAATGAGAAAGAGAGAGCGAGAGACAGAGACAGAGAGAGAGAGGAAGAGGGAGAGGGAGAGAGAGAGGGAGAGAGGGAGGAAGGGAGGGAGGAAGAGAGGGAGAGGGAGAGGGAGAGAGGGAGAGGGAGAGAGAGAGAGCGAGAGAGAGGAAGAGGAAATTTTACCTGTGTTACACAAGGTGGCAGGTAATGGGAAAAGGGGTCTTTGTACAAACTGATGCATCGGCTGTTTCCTGATGGGGTTTGGATTCATCATATGACATAATCTACATTTAAAACAAATAATAAATGACACTTTAAGAAATCTAATCTTTTAAAGTCAGTTTCTACTTCTCATACATAAAAATATTTAAAATTCAAACATAATCATCAATAAAAATAATTACACAGCTGACTTTTCATTTTATCATTTTGATTATTTCTACTTACTTATGTAAGTGATATAAACAATTCAAATATAGGTAAAAATTAAATGCAAAGTCACAGCCTTGATAATTGGAGGCCATAGGCCAATATAAGATCCAGTTATAAGCAAAAGCAACGTTTCTGTATCAGTGATTTAAATCTGATACAGAATCAGATAAGCAAAGCAAAGAACTACAGGATTTTACTTCTTTTAAAAAATTTTTAAAACAGGGCTGGAGAGATGGCTCAGTGGTCTAAAGCACCTACTTAGAACAAGCTTGGCAAAGCACAGGGACCGCGGTTCAATCCCCCAGCACCACATGCCAGCCAGCCCCGCCCCCTGGTGGGCTGAGCTGGCCACACACACACACACAATAAATAAATGTTAAAAATAAATAAATAAATAAATAAAAAATTTTTAAAACAAGGGGGCCTGCCCCTTAGCTTAGTTCTTTAAGTGGCTGCTTCAACAAAGCCGTCAGGCTCAGGTTGCTGTGGTTCGACCCCCACAACTCAAGCCAGCCAGTCATGCCTTGAAGGCATTCGGAGAAAAAAAAAAAATTTAAAACAAGGTAATAGAGTCATATGGCTCAAAACTGATGAAATTATATACAATGAAAATGCTCTCCTTTTCTGTCCTCTACCAACATGTTATCTAGAGATTACATATACTACCTGTTTTTTTTTTTTTTTTTTTTTTTTTTTGCCTGCTCAGCCTGCCTTAAGGGTGGATCTGGTAAGGCAGGTGGAGGTGGGGATTGAACTGAAGTATCCTGCACCTGATTGCATTTGAAAGAGCAGGTGCTTAAACAACTGAGCTAACTGACAGGCCCCCAGTATACTACCTGCTTTTAAAATTAAAATCTTGGGTTATAGTTCAGTTCAGAGTACTTGGTTAACAAGTGGGAGGCCTTGGGTTTGATTTCCAGACACACACACAACAAAGTACAGGATGAGTGTCCCTAACTGAACAATCTGAAATGTTCTAAAATTAGAAACTTTCTGAATCCTGATAAGATGCCACAAGTGAAAAATTGCACCTTACCTCATGTGCCAGCCCAAATGCAGGCACATGAAAAATTTTGCATAAAATTGCCTTCAAATTATGTTGATGAAACATAAATGAATTTCATGTTTAGACTTGATCTTATTCCCAAAATACCATATGCAAATGAATCCCAATCCCAAATCCAAAAGGTGAAAGACTTCCAGTCCCAAACACTTCAGATGAGGGGCACTCAACTTATATTTCAATGCTCTAAAAATATCTAATAGAAACTTTACTAACATGGGCCAGGGATTAGCTCAGCGATATAAATGCCTGCCTGGCAAGAACAACAACCTGAGTTTGATCACTGGCAATTCAAAAAAAAAAAAAAAAAGAAGTCCCTATATACTTTTTGATTGGAAATATTAATCTAGCATGAGAATTTAATGTCACTTTATCCTCCTGCCTCAGCCTCCCTAGTAGCTGAGACTACAATCATGTGCCACCATGCTTGGTTTACAATTGTCATTTCATAGGAGTCACTGAAGCATTTTAAGAACAGGCGTTACTGTTCTCTATGTCCTGCTGAAGTGAGCACAGGAATCATAATTCTGTAATCATACACATTATCACTTTTCAAAAAAAATTTTTTCTCTGGTTATTTTTACCAGAAATAGGAAGCAACAGAGATTGCCTCACATTTTCTCTTACAAAACCAGAATTCTCTTTATCATGAAAAGTAAGCACCAGCTATGTTTCCACTTACAGATGGCCTAAAACTTTCCTTTCAGTAATTTTAAAATGTCATTTATAAGCAGAAGAGTACTTTGCTGGGGCATTGTGGGCCTTTTACCCTTCGTTTCTTTACACACTACTGCAGAGATTAAAGCCCAGCACTGAGCGTACAGGGAAGCAACAAAACAAGCATCACTGAACTCCGTGAAACACCACCAAGGAATGAAGGAATCTGTGAAGCCCAGACTCCCACTCCCTGCTGGTAGGGAACGCCCGACCCAGCGCAGTGAAGTCTGTCACCACTTCAAGTGATTACACTTATTACAGCACTCAGGAGTTCCTCATTATTTGCTAATGTCTTTCTTACTAGACTAGAAACTTAGTAAGCGGAGAGACTGGGTTCATTTCTATGTCCCCAGCTGCCCGCACTATGGCCTCAATTCCTCATTCCTAAATGAGGTTAATATTCAAAGGTATTCATAAAAGGTGGGATGTGGTGATGTATGCCTGGAATCCCAGCACTCAGAAGGCTGCAGCAGGAGGACTGCTTCGAGTGCAACGATAGAATGGTTATATAATGAGTTCGGATGCAGTCTCCCTAGGATACTCCAGAATGGGGAGAGTCTGTACAATGCAAGAACAGTATTCTTGTCTCTTCAATCCAGGGAAAAAGCAGCAGAATGCATAAATAGAAAGCATCTTCTGATGCTTTTAGACGGGTTTAAAGACTAAAAGGAAGTGAGCTAAATCATTCAAAGACATCTGAAATATATAACAGGGAGACAGTGTAACTAACAACGCTTTTCTGTAAACTTAGTAGTTCTAGGAAAGGCACTTAAACTTCAAGGGCGCCACTGAAACTAGAACTCAAAAGACCTTCGTCTCCAGAAGTCAAGAGAGGGTCCAACACCTACCTAAACCCTCTAACCAATGCTGACAGGTGTATTCGCCAAGCCGAAACTCATAAGGCAGTGCTCAGAGAAAGGGAGAAAAAGGAGGAACAGGTATTAAGGAGAATTGGTGGCGACATCAGAGGTCTGGATTCTCCTCGGGGTTCCACTGCTCCGAAGAGGGCCTCACGGGGAATCCGAGGAAACGAGAGACAGCGTATTTTCACCCCTTGGTGTGACCTGATTTTGTGTTAAGCCAAGCGAGTGAACGCACGTGATGGAAGGGCTTGGGGCACACGTCTCTACAGCGTCCCCGCGAGCTTCCCCCAGCCAGACACAGGGCCGACACGAGACTTCGCGGGGTCCGCCCGAAGTGGGGGCGCTGATGCGCGGCCCACAGCCGCCACCTCGGGTTGAACCCGGCTGCGCGCCGGAGGCGGCCTCGGGCTCCACCAGGTGCGCTTGCTCCCCTCCCCTGGACAGAGAGAGCTCTGGTCGGGGAGACGGCGACCGCCCCGCTAAGGTCTGCGACACACCTATTACGCACTCCCAGGCCGTCACCTACCGCCTACGCAGCCCGGCCGCAGCGCCTGCAGCTCCCCAACCCCACCAGGCGGCGGCTGCCATGGTCTCAGTCGGAGGATGCGCAGCGGCAAATGGGTCCGTTTCCTCCGCGCCCCGGAAACCTTGCGCAGGCGCAGACCTGCAGGGAGCGGGCAGGCGCTGGGAAGAGCGCACCCTACAGGTGACGGGCGGCGTTGCGGACACGGCTGCCCCCTGCTGTGCGCTGCTGGCGTGCTGCCGGGCGGCGCCACAGCTGTACGTGCGTTGCTCACGCATGCGCAGAGGCTTACGCTGATTTTTTTTTTTTTTTTTTTTTTTCCCCTGAGTACTTACTTCTCTGATGCTGGCTGGTCCTTTAGTTAGTATGTTGTTCCTCCATTCCCTCTTGTGGGACCCTGCTTGTCTCCAAGCGTAGCTTAATGACTGCCCCTAGTCCCTTCTGGATTACACCAGTTTCTCAGATTTTGCTGACCAACAGTTTTGTACTTCAACAGAGACTTGTCTGATGTTATTCTTTTTTTTTCAAAATTTTATTGATAAACAGCAATGAGATAGTTTCAAATCAAATCGGAAGTGCACTTTCAACAAATAACACACTGCATATATTCTTCTTAGTGATTAATTGCTGTACAAGATGTGGACTTGAGATCCTATTTACAAACACCATTAGAACAAATCATTCTATTCATTAAGAGAATGCAACTATATATCCCAACCACTTTGAATACACAGATACAAAATGGACATTCATCTGTATACCCCATTTTTTCTAAGTTCCGTTATTGAATATTATAGGTGTATAAACTCAGCAAAATATTCTAAAAGAGTCCAGTAGCCCATAATAGCATTGGGTTTTCTGTTTAACTGGCAATGTCAGAAATTATTGACCTGAGTCCCCCACAGCTCAACTTAACAGCATGGCTTTATTTCTTATATTTTGACTTCATACTTTTCTACTGGATGGTTAAGACCAAGGTAAAGCAAGACCTGTGCAACAAGAGTTGTAGCTTTTTGGTCTGAGAAGGTCAGTGAAATCCCCTCAGGATTTATCCTGAGATCCTGTACCTCAGATTGTAGAACCTTTGTCAGTGCAGCCATGTGGATGAGTCACGGCCATTGCTTGACCAATGTGCTCTCTGTGAAAGCCTGAGAGAATGTCTTCTCCCCATGTGACTCTCCTTAGGCACACTCTACGTCATTGATCACTTTCCTCTTTGGCCCCATAATCTCCTTGATCACAAAATTTGGGACACTACCGAGATACATGACGTTACAGTACAAGTTCTCATATGTCCTGAGTCGATGTTATTCTCTTGATTAGAATGGGACATTGAATTTGGGGAGGACTACAGAAGTGACATGCCTTCTTGTCACCTCATAGCAAGAGACTAGGCACACTGTTAGTGTGACTTGTCAGTGCTGATATTAATAACCCTCGGTCTTCTACTCAGGCAGATCTGTCAGTCCTGCCCATGGTTAGGTTTACTGCCTGGTCCATCTTTACATGCACAGCCCACAGCCCATGTCTAAGGCGTGTGGGATTAAGCTTCACGCCTTAGGGAAAAGCTACGTGAACTAATGGAAATTCTGTGAGACTTTCTTTTCTTCTCCATTTATTCAACAATTTAAAAAGATCAGTATGGACTCATTTTCTGTATTTTTGTTAAAATTAATACTATGGTAGTTCTTTTATTATTCCAAATTGTTCTAGTTTTGACCTTGGGAGTTCTTTCAGGGTGGCTCTTGTGTCCTTGTAATTTCCTTTGAAGACTTTATTTTCTGGCTTCACTGCACTGTAAGATGCTCTGAGTGTATCTTTTTTTAAAAAAAAAAAATTATTTTTTTTATTTTTTTGGTGGAACCGGGGATTGAACTCAGGCCCTTGCGCTTGCCAGGCAAGCACTTATTCTACTGAGCTATCTCCCCGGCCCCGAGTGTATCTTTTGTATTTCCTGCTGCAGTCTTAGAATCAACAATTTCTCCTCAGAGATCTGACTTTTTAAAAAACAGTATTCAACTGCATAGCGAGATCTTATCTCAAAAAGAAAAAAAAAATAGTATTCAGAGACTAACAACTTTTCACGCTTATTCTTTTATCTGTCTCCTCCTTGGCAGATTGCTTGTCCCTCATCACCAACTCTGGCTGCCTGAGCATTTAGACACATTGAAATATTATCATTAACTGTTCGTCACCTGTGTCTTCCTCTGGCAAGTTTCCTGTTTTCTTCTCATTTCCATTCAGTCTCTAGTACTGCTGCATTTTATATGAATTCAAAGTGCTACGTAAAATGTTAATAAAGTCAATTCCATATATAAAATATAAAGACAAATATTTAAAAGTGTCCAGGAGCCAGGTGAGGTAGCCCACACCTGCAATCCCAACACTCTGCAACGCTTAGGCTGGAAGATGGCAAATTCAAGTCCAGCTTGGGCAATTTAGCAAGACTCTGTCTCAAAATTTAAAAGAAAAAAATTAATATTTTTATTTATTTCTTTGGTACAGGGTCTCACTACACAGCTTGGACTCATAGTGATCCACCTGTCTCAGCCTCTCCAGCATTGGATTACAGGTGTGCGCCACTACATCAGGTTTCAGTGGCCAGCACCGCGTGCTGTGCCACTGAACCTGGGTCCTTGCACTTGCCAGGCAGGTGCTTAGATTGTCAAGCCCGAGCAAATATTTAGAAGAGGGATATAGTTAGTTCAGTGTGAGAGTCCTGGGCTTAATCCCAAGTGTGAGATTGCACATAGTGGCACACGCCTGTAATCCTAAGGCTGGGGAGGCTGAAAACAAGAAGCTCACTATGAATCGGAGCTGTGTAGGGAAATCCCGTACTAAATATGTTAAAAAAATTGCTAAGTGTGTGTTGTCAAGAAGAATCTCAAATTGAAGTCTATTGGGCTGAGTGAACTGTGCCATTACCACATGACGGAGTCACAGTTACTGGTTAAACTAATAATGCTAATATTGCTATTATTTTCCTGTTATTGGTGTATTAAATTACAGCATTTAGGGGATTACAGCCTGGAGGTCAGAAGTTTGAAGTAATTTTCACTGGACAAAAGGCAAGGTGTCAACATATCTTCAGGAGGCTTTAAGGGAAGAACATTTCCTTGCCTTTCAGCTTCTAGTGGCTGCGTTGCTTAAATTCCTTGGCTTCTTCAACCCTCAAAGGGCATCTTCTAAGCCTGGCACAGTTATATAGACCCAGTTACTTCAGAAGGCTAGGAAAGATGTCTTGAGCCCAGGAATTTGGGGTCAGTTTAGGAACAGAGTGAAACACCATCTCAAAAAAAAAAAAAAAAAGAATCCAACAAGGGCCGGCCAAATAGCTCAGTGGATTACAGTGCCTGCTTAGGTGGACGCAGGGTCTGGGTTTTGATCCTCAGCATGCAGTGCTGGCCCTGCTCCCGGGGCACACTGAGACCAGTGATTGAAACTGGGCGTGGTGGCACACACCTGTGATCCCAGGGATTGGGAGGCTGAAAACAGGAGGATCACTATGGGTCCAAGCGGTGTAGTGAGACCTTGTACTAAACAGTTAAAAAAAAAAAAAAAAAACCCAACAAAATAAACAGTGTATGCTCCACTCTTTGTTTCCATCATACCACTGCTGCCTTCCCTAACTCTGATTTCACCTGAGTTGTGCTGGTGCCCCCCTATAATCCCGGTACTAAGGGGGGAGAGGCAGGAGGATCACCAGTTCATGGCCAGCCTAAACTGGTGAGTCCATATCTGAAAAAAAAACAAAAATCATGCACTGGCCCCACCCCTGGGCACACCGAGCCAGCCAACACCACCGTGGTGGTGCACACCTGTAATCCCAGTGCTGGGGAGGCTGAAACAGGAGGATCACTATGAGTCCAAGCTGCTTAGTGAAACCCTGTACCAAATACATTAAAAAAAAATCAATCAACCAAACAAAAAACACAAATAAAACCAAAACCAATAAAAACACCAGTGTTTCTCTTACAGGATGCTGTAACTACCTTAAACCCCACCTGAATAATCCAGAAGTCTCCCTTTCTCAAAATGCTTCAAGGGCCAGCGAGACAGCTCAGTGGTCTAAAGCGCCTGCGTAGGCAGGCACAGGGGACTGGGTTTGATCCCCTCAATCCCTGGTACCATGTACCGTGCCAGCCCTGCCCTGAAGGCACCCCCCCCAAAAAAAAGTAAGGTAATTAATTTCTTTGGGGCTGGGGAGATAATTCAGTGGAATAAGTGCTTGCCTGGCAAGTGCAAAGTCCTGAGTTCGATCCCTGGTCCCACAAAAAAAATAAATAAAAGCTTCATCACATATGCTAAATCCCTCTTACCACGCAAGTTAACATTTCCAGGTTCTAAGCATTAGAACAAATAAATGTGGAAAAACTAATAAGCAACTGTTAGGGCAATTCTTGGATCAATTTCCTATACATTCTTTAAAACTCTTTTTTTTAAAATTTTATTTATTTATTTATGTGTGTGTGTGTGTGTGTGTGCGTGTGTGGCCAGCTCAGCCCACCAGGGGGCGGGGCTGGCTGGCATGTGGTGCTGGGGGATTGAACCGTGGTCCCTTGCCGTAGCTAAGCTTGTTCTAAGTAGGTGCTTTAGACCACTGAGCCATCTCACCAGCCCCTCCTATACATTCTTATCTTATAATTATTTTCATTGAGATCTAGTCATATATATATATATATATATTATATACACACATATCTATATATATTATATACTTTGAGTCTATTTTTGGTTTATTTGAAGTTTATTAATAATGCAGTCTTTTACTAATGAACTAAATCTGTAACTAGGTTCCCTAGTATACACTGTACCTATTAAATTCCAATTTATTTCTCCAGTACTGGGGATTGAAACCAAGGCCTTCACACTGAGCTATATCCACAGTGCTCCTTTTTAAAAAATTTGAGAGTCTCGATAAATGGTTAAATTGCTCAGGCCAGAATTGAACTTGCAATCTTCCTTCCTGAGCCCCCAAAGTACAGTATGTCAATATTCCATTTCATCAATTTTTAACCATGCATAGTTTTAGTTATATTAAATTTTGTTTCTGCAGGTTAAATTATTATGAATGGAATAAAGGGTGAGTTAATAAGAAAACTATAAACAATTTTCCTCTGATAATTTCAGTTTTCAATAGTCTGCACTTAGGGACAAAAAGTCCTGCTTTGAAAGAAGATGTGACTTGGGCATTTGGTATAACTACTAGTTTCACCATCATGGACATTGGTCCTGGTCCCCAAATCCCACTGCTACAGACCTGGGCTGCATGCAGAAAGGAATGTGGAAACTCCTTCAGGGTCTGTAGGCAACAAACTCATGCAAGAGCAGACTGAAAACTACTTGGACTCCTATGCTACCCAAGCCCAGATTTAACCCTAATACAGGGTAAGGGAAAACAGAGAGTCTGGCTTCTACCTGGACAAACAGATCTAAACCATCTGACTGCGGCTTTGGTCTCTTCCTCCTGGCTCTCAGGAGGCACTATACAGCAGCTCCTCCCTGGCTGATGTCTCATCAGTCTTAGGCACAAGGAAGCCAGCAAAGGGTGAATGCAAACAGCCCACCCTGCAGGAGTATGTTTGCCACTTGCAGGCAGGGCCAAGCCACTCTGTCAGCCATACCCCACATCTTGAAGAAAGCTCAGTGTAAGTCTGAACTACTTAAAGTTGTCAAATGTCACTGTTACTGTCCCAAATTTGGAAAGGAGAATGGACAGGAAGTTTCACTCTCACAGTAAGCATTTTTTAAATTCTTACGTTCATTTTTTCCTAACACTTTTGTTAATGTTGGTCTCTCTTTAGGAGTATTAATAATGTATTACTAGACATTGTACTAGTGAAATATGCCTAGACATCATTCACAACTACAAATCTTCATTTCAATTAAGATCTCATTTAAGAAAAAACAAAGTATAGCCATTTAATTAGGTTCATTTTAATAAAGTATATAGGAGTTTACAACTCAAAACATTTATTCATAAAACTATCAGATACATAAGATAGATCACACCAAGAGTGCAATAACATAAGTCCAAGTCTGCAAATAAGAGGTATTGCAAAAACTGTTGACTGTTTTTCCCCCTTCCTTTTCCTTGTTCACAGCCCTTGAGATTGTTTGCACATTCCTGTTTGCTGAGACCTGATGCTCTCAATACTCCTTGTATCAGAACAGACTCCCTTACCGAGTCAAACCTAGAACAGTCACCAGAGTTCATCTTTTCTCCATGGAATAAGAATGGTCCTTGTCATTTATTTGGTTTCTATTCCCTTAAAAAAAGACATTAAATGTTCCCTCATTTAAAGTAACACCTTGCAGATCTTGGGGTGGCTGGTTACCACTGTCCTCTAAATGCTTCCAATGAGCCCTTAGGACAAGACACGCCCTACCAAATCTCACCTTGTAGATCAGCTTACTTAAGGAGGCTAAGGCAGTGAAGAGCCAACTGCCCCCACCTCTACTGAAAACAACTCTGGTTCTAATTTTGAGCTTTTGGCGAAGGGAATTGAATTTAGTCATGCCAGATACTTCATGGTAACGTCTCAATATTCTTTGGATGCTTTTATTAGGAGTGGAATTAATACTATGGAAGCAAGCATGGGGGAACATGTGCAAGCACATAGGCACAGACACTCAGACACACACTCCAGTCACACTCCTCCAACAGGAATCTTTGGTAGATTCAGAGAATACAACTGATTTGCCATTTTTGTGGGAAAAGGCTGCATTGTCTCCCTTCACCCCCAAGGTCTATTCTATTTTTTAAAAATATTTTTGGTGTTAGGAATTAAACACAGGACCTTGTGCATACTAGGCATGTGCTCTACCACTGAGCTATACCCTCAACCATAAATCAACTAATATTGGTAAAAAGCATTTCTATAATTCCTTGCCACATAGTTCTTTTACAGTGCAATCTGGATAACACTGACTTGACTTCACGCAGTTAACGTTTACCTCGTTTTACTAGCAATCTCAGAACCCCTTTACATATAAACTCGGTCCTGCACTCCGGGTGAGATAAAGGAGCGGGTTAGGTCTCCGTAGAGTAAGGCTGGGAACCAGCCAATCCTGCTCTATATTCTATTCACGAGAAATAGAGAAGGCAAGCCATTTCGGTTACTTAGTGAGATTGTCACTGGCTGGACTGAAACTTAAACTATTATATGTCACAAGGGAGGCAACTAAGAGTTAGAATGATGGCTCAACAGTACCTCTTATCATCCCTCTATTAGCATGGCAGAAATAAGAGGAATGATGAGTGCATCAATGATGAAGGCACGAGACTTCCTAGGGATAGGGCAGAAAGTTGCCAACTAGATACCACTTATTATGAAGCATTTTGTGAAGTTTTCAATAATAAGTTTTCAAGTGTTCTGCTGGCTAAAAAAGTATTGGTTGACAAAGACAATGGAAAACTACTGATTCAATATAAAACAGCCAATGTTTACTTCTGCAGACAAGGATTGGACAAGGGAACCTGGGCTTGTTACAGACATCACCAAGGGGGTTCCGCCACCTTTTGCTGTGATGCTCCTGTGTGCTGCTCATCAAAATAATTTGGGTTCCAGGCTTCTCATGAAATGTTTTCTCCAATTTCACTTCTAAAGACACAGCAAAGAGTAATTTTTTTTTTTTAATGTATTTGGTACAGGGTCTCACTATGCAGCTCAGACTCGTAGTGATCCTCCTGTTCCAGCCGCCCCAGTGCTGGGATGACAGGCGTGTGTCACCACGCCTGGTCTTGGTGGCTGGTTCAGTGCACCCAAGGCCTTGAGCTGGCCTAGGCAGGCATGTAGACTACTGAGCTATCTCTGCAGCCCAGCACACAATAATTTTTTTTAAGGGACCCAAATGACTTCATTTTAGTCAAGAAGCTTTGGAGAGCACAGAATCTTTCTTAATTTCCTATAATACAATTTCCTATTTGATACAATGCATATATATTATATATAACCTGGTATGTTCAGATTACTTTTCTTCATGAAAGAAAAATACTAAGTTTCTATCATCAGTTCACTCTGGTGATTATAAAGCTAACACTTTAGGTATCAGTGAAATGTCTACCAGGTAGTTGAAAATATTGATGTGTACATATTCTAAAACTTATTAAGTAGTAAGCCATTATCTTTGTTCAAAGTTTAGAGTGTTTAGCTACCAGATGAAATTCAGATACAACATGCTCCTATAAACATACACATCTGCCTACATATGAGAGTTTCAACTTAAGAGTGAGCTCTAACCAAATAGAGCTTATGACTTAAGTATCAAATTTTGGTGGGTTTTGCTTTTTCAAATTTTGTTTTTTCATCTTTCTTACTTAACCATAAATTTGGAGTTCAAAAGCTGTATGTAATCCAAATCAAGAAAATGGTGGAACATGGGAGCTAACTTCATTAGTTCAAAAGTGCCTGCTACTGGGCATTACTCATCAGTGCATAGTGTGGCTCAATGCTCTAAATATATGCTCTCTCATTGCTTTCCACTGAAATGAGAGGTCACAGTTTCCTATATTTAACAAATGTGTAAACCAAACAACATACAACACAATTTTTTTTTTAAAAATGCAGTATTTTATGGACATATATTTTCTTTTTCCTTTTATATTTCAAACTGTTGCAGTATAGATACTAGAAACATGTATTGCTACTAATTCATAGCACCCCAAGCAATCCTGATTTTCCTTACAATGAAATTTTCCAGATTTCTAGATTCAGGAAGATCTCTGGCAAGGGCACTTAATTTTTAAATGACAGATTTATCCTGTATGATCCAAAGACAATCAGTAGGAAGGCAATAAAACCCTACCATAGTTCTAGTCTTCGGAATACATCATTAATAATATACAAAATATTTCATGCATCACTGTATAGAAAAAACTACATACAGTTACATTCATTTCCCTAGTCAAATAAGGTATATAGTTTCTAACTATTGTAGGTCTCCAATAGAGTACAAAAGGGTAACAAGACCCGGCTTCCCAAATCATTCTACCACATAATAAAATCACTATAATCTCATTTGGATTTGTATCTTGAGAATTAAAATGGACACTGGATTGGGAGGAACAATCAATTAAACAAAGAAAAAACATTTTGGAGGACTATTATGAAATAATCATGTTTGGAAAAATGAATTAGAATGACCTCCCACGTTTAAGTTTCTTTTCTTTTACTTTTTTTTTTTTTTCCTTTTTAAAAGACACGTGCATGTTGTTCAGGGTGGCCTTTAACTCCTAGGCTCAAACAATCCTCTTGACTCATCCTTCCAAGTAGCTTGGATTACAAGTGTGTACCACCAGACCTAACAAGATTGTGATTTTGGGCAAGAACACTCCCTGAGTATTCTGTCCCTCCTAGGACATGTCTTTGAGGAGTTCACTTGATAACTACCATAGAGGAGTTTAGGGTACCAAGGTTCATTTGTGCAATAGCCAAAACCATTCAACAGAAAGACAATTCTGCATCCACTGTTACACAGAAAAAAAAATTGGGAAAAAGCAAATTGTTAGAATAAACATTAAGCATCTACCAAAGTGAAAGGTTTCAGGCACAGTTGAGACCTTGGCTGGAAAACCACTGCCGGTGGCTCTGACCCAATTACCTACGTTTATCTTTTAACTGGGACATTTGTAATAGATGGGAGATTATTTTTTTTTAAAGTGTTGGGCTATGTAGCTCAGTGACAGACCTTGCCCAGCACGTATGAGAACCTGTGTTCAATCAACAAAACTTTAAAAAAAAAGGGGGGGGGGTGGACACAAAAAGATTGAAAATTATTATTTTTATTTTACTGTCATGATTCCTGAATTTTAGTTTTTGGTTCTTTGGATTGAACCCATGGCTTCATGTATGCTTAGCATATGCTCTATCACTGAGCCCCCACCCCCAATATCCCATCAATTATAGTGGAGCTTGGCATTTAGGCTTTTGGGATGAATTTTCAGTAATTTTAAATCACTAATCTGTTTTGGTACACAACTCTCTGAACTTCTCCTGTTAATGGAGAAACTGCTAACATTTACTAGAAGTCACAGGAAGCTCTCAGGTTGAAACTTGATGCAGCAACTCGTTCCATTTAATTGAACTTCCTCAGCAGAAATCTTCCCATCAGCACGTAGGTTTGATTTTAGGGCGCTAAAAACAAAGGGCATGAAAAAAGCTAGAAATGAGTCAGATCTTCCAGAAATAAAAGATACTTTCAAAAACATCACCTGTTTGCCCTACTTTAACATATATGGAGCGTACAGAATGTACTTTGCAATCACTAGCTAACTCAACTGTTTTCTATTCTTCCAAATTTATTTAGTGTCCCAGATCCACTATTTCCTCAAAAGGCAGTAGAGAAACAGGACAAGGAACAAAAACAAAATAAAACAAGCAAATCTAGTTCACAGCCTTCTCTCACAATGAATTCTGTAATGACTGCATTGGGTCTAGATACTTAGAACAGAGAACCATAAAGAAGGTACTTTTCTACTGTTTAGAGGGGGGAAAACAAAAAGGACAATTTTTTCACAACCAGGTAAATACAATTTATACTTTCTTTTCCCCACACCAGGGATGGAATCCTGGGCCCTTGGGTGTGCTACGCAAGTGTTCTACCTCTGAGCTACATTCCCAAGCTAGTAAACAGAATCTGTTAATAACAAGGAGAAAATTCTAGAGAAGAAAGAAATCTGCTCTGAAATCTCAGCTCCAACAAGATTTCCCTACACCTTCCAATAAATTCAATTTTGTCATTAGATTTAAAAACAAAAAACAAAAAACCACGGTTCAAGTCAGTGAGGTCAGCAGGCAAATGCCAGTCAATGAGTGATTCAACTGCAGAGGTAGGCGTGGTGGGACAGGATTTACTTAAGGAAAATGCTTCCTGTGAGCACAAATGCACACACACACACACACACACACACACACACACACACAGCCTATGCATCCATATTAATTTTAAAAAGTATGGATGTGGGGAAGGCCCTGCCCAGATGACTGGACATGAGCACAGTTCTCCCATACTCTTCCTAGCACATGTGAAGCCAGGATAGCATCTGACACACATCACACACCCACAGACATATGCTCAAGGCTCAGCCTGGCTTGCACAGACTCAAATCCACAAAATCCTTCAAGAGCTGCTGGTTCTATAGGAATGATTAGTAGCTGCGGGATTATACTTTCTCTTGAAGCACAAGACTTGTATAGTTCTTTTTTTCTAGAAATTTCTCCTTTTCAAGTTTTAAATAAAGTCCTGGAGGAATTCATCTTGACTCTTCAATGAACATGACTCAACAGGAACTGCAGGAATTAAAACTATCAAGAGTTTTGGCCCCTGGGGATCTGGGTAAAATATTCCTAGATTAAAACAATGTCTGGGTTAAAAAAAAGTTTTTAGTGGAGGTGGGAGGCCTCTGTGAAGGAAATAGAATTGCCTGAATGTCCAGAACTCAATAGAAACAAAAGAAACAGGCATAACTTAAAAGGGGCTTCATCTCAGTATCATGGCAATTGAGATTGTTAACTTAAAGGGTTGAGAGATAATAACATAATATTTCTTCTTAGGAAAGTTCCGAGGGAGTGGTATGGTAGGTACTGGTGGGGCACGTGAAGAGAGTACTGCTCAGGTCCTGCTCCTAGGGTTTCTGCTTGCCTGCTTTGGAAGGAAAGGGTGCTAAAGCAAAAGGATCAGTAGCTGGCAACTCCGTAGTCCTGGAGGAGAGGGAGGTGATGGAAACAGAGCCAGCTATTGACTGCTTATTGGTCTGTGAAACAATTTTGTAGGCAGCAATGGGCTGGACTTCAGGAGTTGGCTCATCTTCAGGGCTATAGTGACGTGAATATTTGGATAATGATTGGGGGCGGAATGGTTTGCCAGCCACTGGTCCAGAGCCAGCTTCTTTCTGGGGCTGAGGTCCTTTATTTCTGTCATTAGCAGGGGCTCCAGGTTCCACGGAGGATCCCATGGGAGAGATGTTGTCAAGATGGTCTGCTGCTTGTGGAGAATGGGAGGCAAGGTTAGATTGTTGCACAAAACCGGCCATGGAATACTGAGCTTGGACAGAGGGATACCCTGCTCTCTCACGGCCTGAAAACAGAGGGACATCACCTGCCTGACTGAGGAGACTGGCCTGTGCAGGTAGCTCCTGGGAGGAGTTCTGGGCAACTGGTAACTCCTCCATGCTCTTCTTCTTGGTAAAAGGAGCTCTCAAGAATACATCCACCTCCTCTGGCTGGGAGGGAGTCACATCACCCTTGCAGACAAATGGGGCTTTGGAGAAGATGTCCATGTCATCAGTTGGAACCCTTGAGCTTTTGAAAGGGGCTGTAGCAAAAACATCTGGCTCACCACACCCATCAGCGGCTGGCTGTGGGAGGGACCGGAACTGGCTCTTTCTTTCACCTTGCACTGCCTTTGCTTGCTCAGTAGAGACTTCAGGCTGGGCAAATGGACCGGCTCCTCCCAGCTTCCCCTGGGGAGGCTTGCAGTTTTCCTCCTCTTCTTCAGACTCCAAAAGGAGAGGTCGAGACCCACTGCAGTCTAGTATGTCTCCCTCCAAGTCAGTCCCTTCCTCTTCACTGCTGTGGAAAGAACTGTTGCTTGAAGGGCCATCTCTGGCCAAGTAGTCAGATTCTAAGTTGTTCTGAATCTTTGTGGCAGGTACTCTGGAGGGGTCTGGATACAGGGGAAGGCCTTTAATGTCCGCTGATTCTTTAAAGTGCTCTACAGTGATTACAGGACAGGGATTGGGCTCTCTCTGGAGACCTAGAAAAGCACAAAAGGCAGAATTAATGTGTAGGTCATTTCAACTCTCTGTGGAATATTTAATGGTTAACCCGCGGCAGAAAGAACGTGGGACCAAATAATAGATGTTGAAAATGGAAAAGGAACAAATAAAAAAATAAAAGTCAGGCAAGGAAACTGCACACAAACTGCAACACAACCAACCACTATCTCACATTTTGGAACATGAAAGGCACGATGTGCAGGAAAGGAGATGAAGATGTTAGGCACACAGACATTCAGCACAACTACACAATGCTCCTACTCAACGGGCCAGGCACAGACACCTGCTCTACCTGGCACCGGCTCAAAATGGAATCAAAAAACCCCAGTCACTCATCTCCACCTATACCACGACAGTTGTGGATTATGTAGAAACGCTGTCTGGGAATGAACCAATTCAGCATCTGGCCTGTGGCCATCTGCCCCACCTGCAGAGGGTCAGACCCTCTGTAAAGAAGCAGAGTGTGGCAGCTCAGTAAATCCAAGTTTGCTTGATAATTTATATCACAAGCATTACACAGAGCACCGGAGTGCACAAATACAAATACTGAAGGTACTTTCTAAGGGAAGGATATGGAATCAAAATGCTATGAAATAAAGTCACCTTCAGTTGGAGTGGCCATGGAATTTTGTTTTTGGTCTTCTAAGTTAGCAAAGATCTCTTCTGCCTAAATGAATCCATCACCGAGATCTTTAAGCAGGAGTACAATGCATGGGTAACTACAGAAGTAACAACAAGCTCCAATATACTAGTCTACGGCTCTCGAGGTAGAGGTGCCTCAGGGTGCTCTGGCTTTGAAAATCAAATAGACAATTATCATAATGCAAGAGAGCTTACCTTCCAAGAAATATTAGCAGGTTAGAAGTATGTCATTGGGCACATGTTAGCAAGAGGGCAGGAAAAAGGCATATGTAACTAAGCAAGAAGAATCCAGACAAAGGGCGGTGGGGGATAAAGGTATCATTTCATCATAGGCTCAATAAAGAGATACCAGTGGAGTTTCCCAACCCATCAGGATTAGAATATTTGGTATGAAGACCTGGAGCCACAGAAGACTCAGGATGTCTGTATAGGTGGAATTCCATCATCCCTCCCACAGTGGCCCTCTCCCTTGCTATGTAAACACCTTGCAGCTATTTCTACTAAAAATTATCCCGTTAAAGTTTTTGCTTGAATTAAGCACACCGAACACAGAAGAGGCATTAAAATCAGTTTATTGAGAAACCAGTTACTTAGATATTACATTGTAAAGAGAATGTAGAGAGAGATCTGAACATTTTATAAGGTACAAAAATACTGTTTCGTTGAATCCTGTAACTTTTTAGCAGTATTCTTTTTAAAACAGTTCTGACCCTAAATATTGTTTTCAGAACATACTAAGCAATTTTTTTCACCCATTTTATTTTCTCTTCTAGGAGTTTGAGTGCATTCAGTGAATTCCAAATTTAAATTTTAAATTAAGTTGTATATTGATGTAAGATGGCTTTCTGAAGAACATTTTAAAAATGTGATTTTGAAGAGAATACGTTTTTTCTCTTGCATTACAACTTTAATATGTGCAGTTACATAGTGATGCCAAAGCACCAATGAGCTTACAGGAAACAAGAACACCTTCTCCCAAGGAATATCCATGGAAAGACACAAACTAACTTCTCAGGCGAGCATATGATATCAGATCTGTTTTGGTGGTATCCAGATGATTATTTCTGAGTGAAATTCAAATGAAAAGGAGGCAAAAAAAATTTTCCAAAATAAAATTCACCAGTCTTCAAGGGGTAAAGAAGTTCCTAAAGTGCCTTATATTATTTTCTTGTGTATGAACAGCTAGACAAAGTTTCAGGTGCCAAAATTAAGGCACAATTTCTCATCTTCCAAAAGTACCTTGAAAGTTGATGCAAGAGAACAAAATATCTTTTAGGAAAAAAAAAAGGAAAATTTAGTCAAGCCAGTGACTAACTCTGGCATTATATGGATCGATAATCAAAACAAACACTATCCTAATTAGAGTCAGTATTTTTTCTTTCTTTTCTTTTAAACTTAAATTGAATTCAGTCAAACAAACTTGTATGCAGAGGCTACCAAAAGGAAGATGGTTTGACTGTATTCAATTTAAATTTCCAAAAATCCCAAACCAAACCAGAACCCAACCATACTCAAGGTGTTCACTTTGCTTAATGACCTACATGACACCAAGTCACTGAGTTGATTCCGTGATCTGGAGCACTTTGGATGCTTGCTGTGCTAAGTTCCATTTGGGGAACTGTGTTTGGGTCTAGGAGTGTTCCATATTCAGAATCAGACAAGAAGAACAAGCTTGGGGCTGGGGAGATGGCTCAGTAGAATAAGTGCTTCCCTGGCAAATGCAATGGCCTGAGCTCCCCGGTTCCAAAAAAAAAAAAAGAGAGAAGAAGAAGAAGAAGAAGAAGAAGAAGAAGAAGAAGAAGAAGAAGAAGCAGCAGCCTAATTCACCCAACCTACTTCTGTTAAAAAGAGAACTTTTGGTGAAAAATCCACTTGGAAAATCCTACGACTCAGAACACAGTCTATGACCTTCATGGTGAATAATGGGCTAAATCATATTTAACACCAACAACTTTCTGCGGTTCACACTCACAAAAAAAAATACCATAATATCAACTATGAAGGAAAAACTAGTCTCTTGACTTTCAAAACAAGGACAAGAGTTATTTATTCTCTCTCAGCATCAATTTACCTTTTAAAATTGGAAAAGTACATTCAGAGGATCTTCCTTAAAGACCAAGTCTCTGAGCCTTTTGTCTTTTGGGAGGAGTTGCAGAGTGACGCCAAGAGTACAACACTATGACCACCCATCGCACTCTCCATGCCTGGCACTCTAAAGGGCAAAGAAATGCCAGAGAATGTGAGGAAGCTCAGACACCTACATTCCCTTTGGGAATTCTGGGGTGGTTGCAGAAGAAACAAGGTAGTTAAGACATGAAGAGATTTTAAATAACTGTAAACAGAAGATATATACAAAGTTTTGTTAGCAGTTAAAGGTCTTTTTTTTTTTTATAATAAGTGAGTGTGTTCTTGGGATGATGTGAAGAGTCACTGCATATGAAGATATCCTTGTACTAACAGGAAAACCTCTTTGATGTAACTAACTGCCTAATAGCAATGAAGCGTTTATACCAATTTCACCTCAAGCTTTGGACCAGTTCTTCTAGTGACCAATGACATGCACAGCAGATAACTGGTGACCACAGAACTCAAAGCAAGCCTGTTCCTCGGGGGCTTAGGCTCAGAGTTGGGCCTCATGGTCTATAAGAGAATCTTACTTAGCATTGAGCCTAAATTAGGCATTTTGTTACAATTCTCTCAAACTGGCTCATGGCTCTTATGTTGATTTAGTTCACCAAATTAAGCAAGAAGTCAAAACATACTTTTTTTGGTGGCTTTGTAGGACTATATGCTAGGTTAAAGCACTTTTTTGATGCCACCTTTAGTGGCAACTCTATTTTTGTCTATTTTGAGGCTTTCAGTTACATAAGATTTCAATAAGAACACATGAGTTTCAGGGAGTAGCAAAGCAGCCCCCAAAAGTGCCTGATGACTCAACAACCGACCTTGCTAGTCCCTGTTGACTTCCAAAGCAAGCAAAAGTAAGTGCTAGATGATTTGGGGTGGGGGGACTCTGGAAGTTTTATTTGATTGACAAAATAAGGGTCATTAGATTGCTCTACGGAATCAAAACCCAGAAAACTTAAATTGCAAGCTGAATGTTCCTTAATCTGAAACATCAGAATTTTTTTCCCTCCATTCCCTGAACAGTTAAAGGAAATAGCAAAGACATAATCCCTACCAAATACTTAAAGATATGGACTATTGCGAAACTTTCTCATGTAGTTAGTGACTATAGGAAGCAAAATAGCCCTTCACAGGAACTTCCCAAGTGCAGCCTCAGGTGAAAGTCTTGGAACTAAATCAAAGAATTAAGGGATGATGTTTATGGTTTATTGACTTTGAAAATAAATGTAAGCATTTTATTCTACCATATTCTGGGCAGCTACTGTAAAACTCACAACTGGATCTGGGCCATCAGTGGCTATGGATGCTGGGCTCTCAAGCCTATAAGGCAATTAAATGAGAACAATTTTTCTCTGGGCATAAAGTTGTTTTTTCAACCTAAAATGTTCAATTAAAGAGACCCGGGTATCAGGTAAGCTAAAGATCAAATGAGAACAGCAAATAGAAACAATTCTTGTTAGCAGTTAAAGGTCTTTTTTTTTTTTTTTTTGAACTATGTGTGTTCTTGGGAAAATGTGAAGAGTCACTGCACATGAAGATATCCTTGTGCTAACAGGAAAGCCTGTTTGCTGTAACTAACTGCCTAATAGCAATGAAGAGTTTATACCAATTTTACCTCAAGCTTTGGAGGTGCAAAAATTCTGACATATTGGATTAAGATATTTTCTTCTACTTGACCATGAGAAGTTTTATTCCCCAGCGTGGCTATGACTCATTCAAATGTCTTTGGTGTGTCTCACACATGTTCACACTTTTCTTATCCACTGGTATTTATTGTCATTCAATAGTGTAATTAAATCCCTTTTGCAAAAGCAGGTTTTTCTGCTCAAGACAACAGCTATTTTGAATTATTTACATCTCTAAACATCATGCTCTCATTTGAACAGATAAAAGTCTTTATTTCCCTATATGTTTATATAAGAAATTTGTTTACAGAATTGTTATTTATACAATACTTGCAAAGCAATGCTTGGATTTCACATTTCTCACTGCATAAGATAAGTTTCATGTACATCTCTTTGCTTTGTTTTCTTGGGAAGGACAGGTTAAAGATCTATGGTAAATATACATCCACATGACATGGGTGTGCAACAGGGTAGAGCAGAAAACTCACAGGAGAAGGGTAAGTTCAGGACACTACATCAGAATGAGAACCAAAAAATGTCTTCCATTCTAGCCACTACCACCACTTGCTAACTTTGCATATGTT